CATGTCACGTGATACGATAATTTCCAGATAAGTTTTGAAATTGAGCCCAGTAATAAACATTTGACTCTTGTTGTCAAGTCACGTCGGATAGCCATTTTTAAGTTGTCCACGGGAGCGCATGGAAGTCGGCATAAAGCTACTGTGGAAGTTAAGATCACACACAACTCGCTTAACCCTTTGAGGCATAGTAGTAAGTATACTTACCACCTGTTTATTCTCACATTTTCATGAAATATTTCATATTTGAGGGATTCTTGTCAAGTTTTTTGCGTTTTTTAGCTTTTTATATGATATGGGAACATACATGAAAGGTTGAAAAGTGTTTTGCATAAGTTGTTCACTTATTATAAATAAACAAAGTGTGAAAAATATACATTTTTAGAGAAAAAAATCATTTTCCACGAACTATAAGTGAATTTTTTGCTCAAAATCAAGATTTGGGTTTTTTTTGGGTCGCTGATTACGAATCTGAGGTCCACATTCCAAAATTAATTTTCCAAGATGGCGGATTCAGGATGGCGAATCATAGAATTTTTATTAAATTAGCTAAAATTGTATTCTGGTTAGTTTTTGAGCTCGTTGGTTACGAGTCTGAAGTTCAAATCCTAAAATTTATTTTCCAAGATGGCGGATCATAAAATTTTTATATGATTAGCTGAAATTGTACTTTGGTTAGCTTTCAAGATCGCTGATTACGAATCCGAGTTCCAATACTCATTATCACCGAAATTATCGCGATTTTTCATATGTGGCCGCCATCTTGAATCCGCCGTCTTGAATTTTGAAAATCTGATAACGGATTCATAATCAGCGACTCCAAAAACCCTACAATACCTATTGTCACCGAAATTATCGCTATTTTTCATTTGTGCGTCCGCCATCTTGAATTTCAAAAATCTGATAACGAATTCGTCATCAGCGAACCCAGAAACCTCCGTATATAAATTTTCATGTGATTCGGATTTTCTGAAAAATACGTGCCTCAAAAGGTTAAATAGGTCAAAGTTGCCCTCTCGAAGCTCCGTGAGCAAAAACAGCGACGCGCGCGAAATCCCCTTGCTGGTCACGTGATGTTCACAAATTTTTCCTGCCACGATAAAACAGAAAGTGTGTCCAAAATGTTGCATCGTCAATTATAAAATCGCATTAAATCAGCCCAATATACAATTATACAGGGTGAGGAAAAGGTATGGAAATCCTGAACTCTCGAGAAATATAAGTTTTACAGATCTTATCAGTTTGACCTAGCGACTGACGTCGCTAAAATCAAGACAAGGTTAAGTGAAATTTTTTAAACATAACCTCCAATTTTTTATTACATATTCTTATAGCTCTTGTTGAGACGTTTTCAGACCACTATAATAAAGTTTCTTTTGCTTGAGCATTTCCTGAGATATTTTAAAACTTATGATACTTTTTAACATAAAATATGGAATATCTCGTAAAGCAAAGGAAGAGGATCAGCCATTTAAGACAAAATAGAGGAAGGATCTACCTTTTCAAAGCAAGTTTATAATAAATTTTCAAAGTGTTCGCTATCCACAGTTTGACAGTGTGCTAATCGATCGTAGAATCCTGAAATAGCGTTCGTAACGTAATCCCTGGGAATAAACATAGCCTCATCAAGGATTCGACGACGTAGATCATCTACAGTTTGTGGTTTTGTTGTTAGAAATTTTTAAGTATCTCAGGAAATTTTTAAGCAAAAGAAGTTTTACTTGAAAACGTCTCAAAAGGGCTATAAAAATACGTACGTAACAAAAAACTGAGGGTCACATTTAAAAAATTCCACTTGACCTCGTCTTGACGTTGAGGACGCCATCTAGAGTCAAACTGATCAATAAACAGACCTTTTCAACCTTATAATTTATATCCGAAGCACTTTTCTGTTCTTAACTTATGTTCTTCGAAATTTTTCAAGGTTCCCCTTTCTTCTTTTCCTCACTCTGTACATTTAGTCAAGTACATCCGTCAAGTAAGAAGAGGATGCGCTGCCTTTACTGTTATTTATAAACGATTCTTTCTAACGTTGCATAAGTTTAATCTATTGATAGTTTCCAGCTGCTGATGCAAAATCACGCGGCAGCTTGAGTCATAACTACCAATGAAAAAATAATTGATGTCTCTTGTGTGAACGTTGCGACACGTTTACCTGTTAATTTGTGCTAATTTATGGTAATAGCTTTTACAATTGCTCGCAACAGCAGTATTCGCCTTGTTATTTCTCTAATATCAGTTCACACAACATATTCCCGAGAAACATGAATTTTTCAGCGCGCTCGTCACGCGATATCGCTTTTGTGACAAAACGAAATGTACAGTCTCGTAAACAACGTGAGTATCGTCGTGTTACACTCGAAATGCAATCATAGCGTCCGTTAAAAACTCGTGAAAGTTGCACGCACATACCTTGTACCGACGTATCCGTTTCTTACACAACATACTCCCTCTCCCCGTGCGACTTCGCCAGAACGTCTTCGTTTGAAATTAATGTCAGCCGCTGAACATTGATTGTTACGCAATTAAGTACCGCAGGCTAACATCGCCGAAGCAAACTTTTATTTAGACGTAATTAGATAAATAGTATTCTAGAGGAGAAAAAGAAGGATAAAGCGGCTCACACGAAGAGATAGAGAAGGCGCGGGATATTTTTCCTTGCAGTGGAATATAATTTACCAGTCAGACCTGTTTCTTGCATAAGATTTATCTCGATTTATCACACTTTAAACGCTCTTTTCTTCCAGTTACGAAGCTACGAGGAAAAGATATGTCTCCTCCTCTTGACTTCTTCTTCTAACGCTAGAAATGCATTTCCAGCGAGATAAATTTGCTTTACGTAACGCGCATCGCAACGGATCGGATTTGCAAATTTAACCACCCGCCGAATCCTGCATTTATTTCCACGCCGGCGTGTCTTCGCGACGGATCATATCGACGCCCTCTCGTCAGAGAGGTACTAAGAAATGCGGAGGGCACAGTCAAGACGGATTTGAATTCGAGTAGAGACTGTTCTCGGACCTGTTAAAAACGATCTCCCGCCGATCTCGGAGTTGTAATGATTAATGGAGTAAGGGAGCAGCGCGCAGTCCCGTAATACCGTGGCAACTATCGAGTCGGAATTACAGTTGAGAAACTGCGGGCTGAGTTAAGGGAATCGTCGCTGTCGCCGTCGCCGTCGCCGTCGCCGTCGCCGTCGTCGTCGCCGCCGCCGCCGCCGCCGCCGCCGCCGCCGCCGCCGCCGCCGCCGCCGCCGCCGCCGCCGTCTCGATCGGGAGGATTCTCTCGTCTCTCTTTGGCTCCCCAGCCATCCGATCACGTACCAGGCTTGATTTGATTTTGATTCGACTTACACTAGAAACGCATTTAATACACGTGCTTGCGTGCAGTGCGCGCGTGTATCGACTAAGAACGAGCGTCTGCCGTCGGCTGATACGCCGATAAGACCGCAATTCTGTTTTCACCGCCGCATGTATATACATTGGCACGTACACGAAATCAAGATACTTTCATTGAAGAATATAGTTGCCGCGTTCGCGCAGGGACTGCGTAATTTTCTGCTAATTACCACGAGCATCCTGTCTAGTTTGAGAAGGACGCGCTCCCTCTCTTTCTTATATACTCGATCGTCGCTAGATGCGCGGCGTTCCGCGCGAATATATCGGTCATATTTTACCGCGAGCCTTTTCCTCAAGAGCTACGTGCGAGTTTTTAATTAGCTAATTGCGTCCTTGCCGACGATCGTGCGGAACGATAAACGGTTCCCTCTATTGACTTATACGGACGGTCAGAGTTAACGTTCGTCCGGGCTCTCGGACACGGTGTGAACGTGCTTAATCTGCATAATTTCAATTCCCAGTGCAACACACACACACACACACACACATACATATACACGCGCAGCTCAGTGTACTCGCGGAACCTACGCGTTTGCGCATCGCACATACATCCGTACGCACACATCGAGCCGAGTGATTCCGTTAATATCGAGAATTGTTTGCCGAGCTAAAATAGTTTCGGCAAGCTGAGACTTCCGGCATCGCTTCTTCCGCCGCAGTAACCATGCGTGTAAACATCGGTCGCACTTTCCTGCAGCGAGCATCCTGCTATTGCTCCGCCGCAGCAGCAACCGCGGTACTTCCCGGGGCACTCTCGACTGGAATTCAATCGTGTCGGCCGGTATTTATTCCAGGTGAAAAAACTTATGGAAATGTACTACGCGACGATCCAACCTGTTCCACATCCGCATTATAAAATCCTATTTTATAGACGACGCATCCAAACACTCGTTGATCTCGTGATACAAATTAAAGGATAAAAATATGACTATACATTCGGCCTGTGATTACGACTCGACGACGCAAAAGGTCGTCAGGAGATGTCCTTGATATTTAAATATCGAAACGCTTCCTACGACTGAGCGACAGTTTTACGAGCAGAATTTGCTTAAAATAGTAAACACTTGGACCTATCGCAGTTGTAAAGTTCACGGACAGAGCTGGATTTTTAGCGAGGATTTTCTGTCGATCAGCTTACGCGCGTATTTCGCGTATAATCGACGAAACTATTCGTGATAACTGAATTTCGCTGTTTTCCTCATTGTGTTGCGCATACGAGTGATTTTAAAATAAATATTTCTTAAGAAATGGACTTTTCCGCCGCGACTTCCGCGATTTCCGACGCGACTTTATAGGCTAACGTCTATCATCGACAATACATGCAAACTGATATGCGGGAGCATAAAATTGTTGCGTAATGCGTTCTATGTGAGCCGAAGCGTATGATGTTTTTCTTTATTCTTCTTAAAACTATTAGAACGTAGAAGTTTCAGTCGCTCGAGCATTCGCGTTTTCCTCCTTCGTCGATTACCGCGCCGCGAGTTTTCCTCGTTTGAACATTTTGTCTTCATAATACTCGATATCGAGATAATATCACCGTCGCGTCTCAGCGCGACGATGCTCGATTAGATGCCGACAGGATTGTAAATCAATAGGGAAATACATTTGCAAAGTCCCCACCTCGGCGCCTACAAAACTCGTTTGTTCCGATTTTCGAGATTCAGTCTGAGTGCGTCTCTCCGGCTGAGACTGCGCTAACGATCGTTGTTACTGAATCTCAGTAACGCGTCACTATCGCGTTGCGATAAGATTGGCCCGCAAATCTCCCTCGCGATTTATCAAACCGATCGATAGCACCGCTGAGGATTTTTATTACATTCCGCCCTTCTCCACTAAGTGTCAATACGTAAGTATATACGCAATTAAATCGGACAAGTTCTAACTCGACTTTGTACAACAGATTTGCATATTTTGCATGATGAGAAACAATCAAGTCTGGAGCCGAGGACGATCAGTGACTGCGAAATCGAAATTCATTAACCTTTGAAAGTTACCATCAAATATCACTCCAAGTTAACTTTTTGCGCTGCTGTTTGCAAGTATACATGCGAGAATTGATCTATTTTATTATAATGATGTTACGTCGTGACTTTTGAATTTAATAACAGAAACATATAGATCAGAATAAAGTAATAACAATTTATTTATGTTTTCTACACATCTTCTAGGCAACGAACTAAAACGATAACTCAGCGCTATTCGGTTTATTTTAAGCTAATTTAAAAATGATTTTAATCAAAGTTCCTTCAAGGTGATTTATAATTAAAAAGTTCATATCTCAGACCATTTAGTGACCGCATATACATATAATTTATTATAATCTGAATTAAAAGTTGAATATTAACTGTTATTGTGAATTTTAATTCCGAGTCGTATCCTAGTCGGTATGTATAAAATTTAATTCGTTATTTAATTCGTTGAGCAATATAAAAGGTTCTCTTGAGAAAAATTCAAATCGTCTCATTTCAATATCTTCACTTTCTTCTTCCTTTTGAAATTTAATTTACACTTACAAATAGGTAAATTGGTCGAATCCTCTGACCTCGAAAAAGAACAAAAATACAAAATCACACTACTGGCAATGTAAATAAAAGTATCTATAAAATTTGTGGCCACGTCTTCTAACAAGATCAAAAATTGGCCATGGGGTGAAATTTTACCAATGGTAGCTTTCAAGAATTAATTATTATTACGCTTCGCAGCTATCCGTACGCCAAGATTAAATACGCGCAAGAGATTATAATGCGACATGTATAATTTGCCGCACCTATTTCAGAATTGATCCGTTTCATCGCGTGACTTACTCATCGTGCTCGATTGCGGACAAAAAACACACACGACGAGAAACTAAACTCTCGCACCTGATAATTTTCTCCTGCAGAATGAGACCGATCAGTGATATCGCGCCGATCATCGTCGCTCTATGGCTGCTGACTGTAAGCGACCTGGCGCAAAGCAAGAAGCTATTGATCATTACCCCAGCCCCGTCCTATAGTCATCAGATAGTATTTCGGGCATTGAATCTCGCTTTGCTTAAACGGGGACACGAGATAGTAGCATTGACTCCCAACGTCCTAAATGATCCTACACTGGCCAATTACACAGAGATAGATTTTGGCTTTGAATATGAGAAGATCGACGACACTGACTTTAGTCAGACTCGCTGGAACCTCACGCAGCTAGGCGGCTTGAAGACGAGATTGCTGAGATTGGGTCATGACATCGCAGAGGACGTGCTCAGTCATCCCGACCTCGTCAAGTATTACGCGAACGGGACTGACACGCGATTCGACGCGGTAATAGCGGAGATGATCATGACTCCCGCGATCTACATGTTGGCGCACCGATTCAAAGCTCCCTTGATAGGTAAGACGAATCTCCAGGATCGGTCCTGGTCCCGGCTCCGCGCTGGAGCCGGCGGCGGACGCTCGCGGACGATTCGTGACAACGCTCGAACACGCGAATCTTCTGATCGCAGGTATCATGTCCATGGACCTGCAAAATTGCCATCGCTTTAACCTCGGCAGCCCCGTGATGCCGTCGCATCCCTCCAACTGGGAGGTCGAGAACTTAGCGGGACTGCACCTGCCGTTCTGGAAACGAATGGTTAACTTCGTCAATGCTTGGTGGCGTATATACACGTGGTTCAGCTCCTTCGCGAACCAACAACAAAAGATCGCCGAGAAATACTTCGGCAAGGATATACCGCATATCGTGGACGTCGCGAAGAACATGAGCCTCGTCCTGATCGATCAAGAGCCGCTGCTCGCGTACGCGAGGCCCGAGATTCCGAACATCGTGCACTTTAGCGGCCTGCACATCTCCAAGATCCCCCCGCCGTTATCAAAAGTACGTGCATACCAGGTTGCGCTATCGTTAACTTTTTTGTTTCAAGGCGCGAGCGCCGGCACGACGAAAGCATTCATCCATAAAAGCTTCCGCTCAATCCGTAGGATCTGAAGGATTTCTTGGACGGCGCGACCAACGGCTTCGTTTACATGAGCCTGGGGTCGAACGTGAAGAGCAAATTATTGCCCAAGGGGATGCTGCAGGTATTCGTCAGCGCCTTCGCCAGCCTGCCGTACAGGGTCCTGTGGAAATTCGAGGACAGCAACTTTAACGTGCCGTCTAACGTTTTCATCTCAAAGTGGATCCCGCAGCAGAGCGTGCTGGGTAAGCGCGAGCGAGCGAATGCAAGACGCTGTTCTACATTAGTACAAATGAATAATCCAAATTTTTCAGCTAAATTATGGGTTTATTTTGAAAGAAAGTGAAACAAATTTGCCAGACAAAATATCGCGTTGTTTTCTATAACTTTAAGTCACCTTTCAGGCAGCTGATGAATTTCATGTTGGAAAAATGTTATCTCTTTGGACACGATAAAGTCGTCAAGCCATTTTCGTATTTTATCTACTAATTTCAAGTGCCTAATGGACAAGGCATGTTGTATCGATGGGAACAAGTGGTAAACGGTTGGGACGATGTCTGGTGAATATACCGGGTGCTGCAAGACGACCCAGCCAAGACTCATTAAGATATCTGTTATCGTAGAAACAACGTGTGGCCTAGCGTTATCATGCAATAATTTCACAGGATGTTCTCCTTTACCATTATGCGTTTGCGTTCTAATTCTAATTCTTAACTCAAACGGATTAATTGATGTTGGTAGCGGTGCGCAGTAATTGTTTCATTCGGTTTTAATAGTTTATAATAAATTACGCTCTTCATATCTCACCAAATGCAGAGTAGAATCTTCTTTCCAAAGTGCTTTGTGACCGATGGTTCGCTGGGATTTACCCATGACTTTTTGCGTTTCAGATTGTCATAGAGTAGAGTCACTTCTCATCGTTTCTCATCAATAATTTTCCACAAGAAAGACTTTCTATGCTGCTTATTGAGAAGAGAAAGACACACTGCCACTCGTTGATTTTTGTTAGCTTCAGTGAGTTCATGCGGAACTCATTTTCCTTCTTTCTGAATCTTCCCCATCTCGTGTAAGCGCTTGGAAATAATTTTCCATTGCGTTATTCCTAACTGCTCTGCAAGCTCTTTTTGCGTTTGTGCTGAATTCTCAGCGAGCAGTTACTTCAAATCACTGTTACCGCACTTCCGAGAGCCTTCAGGACGTTCTTTGTCACTCAGACTGAAATCGCCACTTTTAAACCGTTTAAACCAAAATACACACACATCGTACGATACAACACCTTCGCCAAGAAGAGAACACGCGTGCTCTTGCAGCATTTTTTCCTTGTTGGAACGTCGTAAAGAGTACAGTGTCGGATATGCACTTTATCCGTTGCCATTTTTGACTGAACTGAATAATTCTTGAGGTTATGTTGAGCCTTCCGCCATACTAGATGTAATTTTTAGTAACTATGTGTCAACACTACATAACCGTAAAAAAGATACTACGTAACCGGAAAATTTGATTATTTGAAACTTAATACCTTAACCGCTTAAAAAAGTTTGGATTATTCATTTGTACCTAATAACACGTAATAACAATTAACAGCGGGGCTATATCAATCATGTTCTTTCTCATCCCCGTAGCCCACCCCAACATCAAATGCTTCATCTATCAAGGTGGCCTGCAGAGCACCGAGGAAGCGGTTCACTACGCCGTGCCACTCATAGGAATACCATTCGTCTTCGATCAGGTGTATCAAGTGTTGAAGATGGTCTCACTGGACGTCGCCAAACAGTTGGACATAACGAAACTCACGACGTCGGAGCTGCGCAAGACCGTGCTAGAAGTCGCCGGCGATAAGAGGTGATATCCGCGCCCCATCCCCCTTCCTCACCGTTTCGCGAATTATTCGGCCTGTATACAGGGTGCTAAATTTCAAACGTAACAGCTAAAGAATCTCGAAAACTATGAAAGATATTAAAAAAAGCTAAAACACGTGTTCCATGATTTCGAAGAGGGAAGAGAATGACATTATCAGTTTTTTATTTGGAGGGCATTTTCAAGGTCAGTTGAAGGTTAACTTAATTTTTTTAAGTTGAAAACTCAATTTTTTATTATATCTTCTTTTTTTACCAATTAATTTGAACAACTTTTGTCTGAAAAATTTTTTTATTTGCCTAATATTTTTTGAAATATTTAAGGAAAACTTGGTCACTTTTTCAACATTTAACTTACGATATCTCGCTAACTATTGGTCGAAAGAAAAAATATTAGACTTATATTATATTAGACTTTTTTACTTTATTTACTATCAAGAATATATTACTATAATAGTGGCCTTTTATTAACTTTTGTTAACTTATCGAACTTTGGAAATTTCAAAACTATTAAGTTAAAAGTTAGGGCATTATCATAGTAATATATTCTTGATAGTAAATAAAGTAAAAAAGTCTAATACTATTTTTTCTTTCGACCAATAATTAGCGAGATATCGTAAGTTAAATGTTGAAAAAGTTTTCCTTAAATATTTCAAAAAATATTAGGCAAATAAAAAAATGTTTCAGGCAAAAGTTGTTAAAATTAATTGGTAGAAAAAGAAAATATAATAAAAATTTGGGCTTTCTGTTTAAAAAAATTAAGTTGACCTTCAATTTACCTTGAAAATGCCCTCCAAATAAAAAACTGATAATGCCATTCTCTTTCCCCTTCGAAATCATCGAACCCGTGTTTTAGCTTTTTTTAATATCTTTCATAGTTTCCGAGATTTTTTACCTGTTACGTTTGAAATTTAGCATCCTGTAGTGTTCGCCGGTGCTAATCGCTCCTCTCTTCGTATGCGAGCGGGAGAGCGACGATCACGATGTAAACTGCGCGTCACGACTAACGCGTGTGTATTTGGCATTCTGCTTGCAGATACAAAGATAAGATGTTGGAGCTGTCTGCCCTCACAAAGGACAAGCCTTACGATAGCTTGGAGAACGTCATATGGTGGATCGAGTACGTAATGCGTCACAATGGCGCACCCCACTTGCGTTTCAACGGAGCCGATAGTGCGTGGTATCAGCAATTTGACTTAGACATTATCATATGCCTCTCGATTGCGTTGTTTCTGGCTCTGTGCGTCTTCTTAGTCGTCCTGGTGCAGGGGTCGAGACTGTTGTACAAGTATCACGATAGGATACCGCGATTCGCGATTACGAAAAAAGTCAAGTTGACTTAGCAAACTCTATCGCGTAAGTCGAATGAAAGCGACGAATTGTGCTGTTGCTCATTATGGCTACGTTCCTTTGGTTACCACGTCGACTTAAGCATGATGCAGTTTAGCGATAAGATTACTCCGCTTAGAAAATACATAGGAGGGGAGGAGAGCGTGGAAAAATGGCCTTTGCGAAATATTATATCAAACTGTGCCACTCGATCGCGAGAGTGGACCTTTTTTCAGCTCGAAGAGAATTCGGCTGTGGATTTTACAGCGGATTTTACAACGCCCGTCTATACAAAAAATAGGCGAGCGAGCCGGAGAAGGTGAAAGAGGACACAAATTTCGGAACAGAGGCGAACGCAAACGAGTATAAAACCGCCGGCTGAGCGAAGCGAGTTTTGCGAACGCATGAAATTACTCTCTCTCTCTCTCTCTCTCGAAGGCCATCGCGTTTACTCGCATGTATTTATAAAATTACAAGACGTGGAAGGCTAAGACCAGAAAAGAGATAGATGTACAGATAAAATAGGTACAAATAGGTAGATGAATAAATAAGTAGACATCGAGAAGAGGAGAAAGAGAAGGGAAGAGAGCTAAGAAAAGATACATCACAAGATCATTTTCTGCGATTGGGCAGTACCAAGAGTAGCAAGTAATCCCCAATTTCTTAAATAAAACAATAACATTCCTCAAATAAAACAATGAAAATAAAAAAAATGTAACGTTTCGGTACATTTATGTGTTACCGCAACTTTACGAAGCAGCGTTCTGGTCGCGCCCCTTTGACTTTTGATCCTCCCCCACGATCCCCACGCGAGACACATTGCTTCGCTAAATTATAGCGACATGGAAAGCACGATCGAAAATTTCCCTTCAGCCGAGAAATCACGCGAGAAGTCACTCGTCGAGGCACGGACCGATACTTTCGAGTCGCACGATTGCGCGTTGCGGCAACGAGAGACGACGACCCGCCGCCAAAGAAAATTATGCAAACGCGGCGCGGTTACACCGAGGGCGCACATAACGGATGCGATATTGCGAATACGAGACACGAGGCAACACAGTATTATCGAACAACACTATTAACAGAAACGCGCTTAATTGTATATTCTATAATACAGCGGATAACAGTGGTTATGTCACTTCGGACGGAGGCGCGATCCAGCCCTGCCGATAGATCGTCGCGCGACGAGCACGGCCGGGCGGCGCCCGCGCCGTAGAAATCCAAAATAGAATTAGTTTCGGAAACGGCGCTAAGTGTCAGATGTTATTGTTAACATGACCGATGCGTCCCGAATATCCGGTTAATGAGGCCTCCCTTTGCCGCCGGCGTGGCCCGCGCACGTCCATTTGGCAGATGGACCTAATTCAGAGTGCAAGGATCCATTAACACGTATATTCGCCCCAAGGAACGTATAGCGCGATAATGTATACGATGCTAACATCGCGCGCACGTACACTGGGCCAAACGCCGTCGACCGAGCACACACGTATTCTATGAACATTGCAGCAACAATTAGGAGACCCCTTTGCTATCGGGCGGAATATACATATCTACGGCCGTTTCAAGTGCCCCGTGTGAAACGTATGCGAATCGCGAGCACATGCGCACACGCGCGCGCACATACACACATACACACATACAGCACAGTTGACTATGGCATTCATCGCTGTTGTAACGTAGTCGCGCACACGCTGCGGCGCGCACTGTTTCTGCCTCGCCGATGCGAAACCCCGGCCGGCTAATCAAGCACCATCGACCAGCGGCCGGCGAATCTCGCACGCACGGGTTATCGTCGACGATGAGAAGAAGAAGAAGAGAAGATCTCCCGGATAATCAGCCGGATAATGGCGCGCGCGCGTCAACGGTCGAATTTAATATCACCCGGATTTCGTCGTCGCGCGTCGGTCTCTCGATTTACGGGATCGCACTCGCGTGTACCATCCGCCGTACCTCCCTTCGACTCCGGGAGGGCGAGAGGGAGCGTCGTACGTCGACGGTAATTGGCGCGACTTAACGCGCGTACGGCGATCTCGACGCGGCCCGTGAATTTTCAGTCGATCAGCCACGAAAATGAGAGGAGCCCCGAGACGCTCGATGAGCGGCTCACGGTTATGTGCCGCCCTCGTCGTAACTAACATTCAGATCCTATTTAAACTTTTTCAATTATTTCGATATCTTCCAACGGCAGCGACGCGAACCCGGGACCGCCATCGGTCGCATTATCGGGACCGGGACAGGGCGGGGAGGAAGAAGGAAGACAGACCGGGAAAAGAAGTTGCCGCTGCTTTCTCGCTGCGTCCGTCTTTCGCGCGTTCCGCCGGCCGCTCGCTTCTCGCGCGAGCATTTCATAAATAAGCCTTTGTGCGCGGCCCATCTGGAAATTGAATTGGAAAGTTCAGCTCGCCCACACACCGTGAGAAAACTGAAAACGACACCCCGGCGCGGCGCGCTCAACCAGCGACGGCGGGCGTCAATTTTCTGGCCGATTTTTCCCTCCGCCTCGCGCCGGCCGGGCCGGCTCACCACCGTGACGCGCTTCGTTTATTCACATTCAACCGGCTGAAATCTCATTTATTAGCCGTAGCCGTGTGCAATTTCGTACGATGCTTTACCGCCGGTCGCCGGTAGTCGGCTTTTTCAACCGCGAGGCGTCGTACGACGACAAAACGCCGCTGCGCCAACGCGCACCGCGACGAAATTCTCTCTCTCTCTCTCTCTCTCTCTCTCTCTCTCTCTCTCTCTCTATCCCTCGACGCGAGAACAATGCCGACGCTTCGATTCGCCGTAGATGCGCGCTGCGATCCCGCTATTATCGTCAGCACGGCATGCGGCTGTTTATTGTATTTGTCATCAATGTTGCACCGAGCGCGTCGTACTGCGTACTAATGTAATTCGCGACGCGGCCGCGCACGAGCAAGAGCAGCATCTCGTGACACGCGCCTTGTTTGAATTACACACACACACACACACACACACACACACACACACATACACACATATCTGTTTCTACGCGTACATTAATCACACTTTGGCGATGTGAGACGCGACAGCGAATTCATCGCGACCTGAGCGCAAAAAATCCGGCCGCGCGGTTTAAGCAGGTCTCTTCCGCACGCATTCTGCTGGATTCGCATTATCCGTATAAATATGCAAGCAGGATCCGGAGTAGAAAAATTAATAGAGCTCTAGTAAGGACCTGATTATTTTTCCCTTTTAATTAATCGGATCCTAGTAAGGATAGAAAAGCAAGGGACCTACAATATATAGGTCCCTTGCTTTTCAACAATGTGTACAATATGTACAATATATAGTTTAACGAGTCCTTATTAGGCAATATTATGAGGGCCTTATGAGGCAATATCAAAGAGTGTTTTATAAAGCAATATTAATAGGGCCTTATAAGGAAATATTCTTATTATTGCTTGAGTAAAAGTATTCATTCTTTTTTCATTCCAACAAATTTAGACTGTAATTTCTTTATTTCTTTATAACCTTGTTAGTATACAACAAGAATTTATTTGAAAAATATGGCATATTTTACAATGAAATATAGCATTCTTTAAACATAAAAATCCTGCTACTGTTTTTATTAAAGTTTACTGCATTTCAAAACGAAGGCAATACTGGAAAAATCCTTGGAAAAGATTAATGATGTGGCAACTAATAAAATTGATAAAATTTGTCTTTAATTGTGGTATAATTCAAAAATCTTTAAAAGAACCAGATAGAGCGTACCTACTAAAACAATACTAAACTATGACAATTTTATTACTCGCTTCAGATCTTATTAATTTTCTATAACAAAACTTGATTTTGTAAAATTTAAGGCATCCCTAATAAATTCTTCTAAGGCGCTCGTCAGTTTTCCTTGTCAAAGCCTTAATTCGTAAAATCTAAGGTCCTTATTTCGTAAAATCCCTAAAAGATCCATCTCGAGGCCTGATGTGATAATAATGAGGCATCCCTTTTTAGAGCATCCCATTTTCAGCCTTATCGGGACCTTATACTTCATGAGAATGACCCTAACAATTTTTTGCTCGGGATTTTACGAATCTTCTTGGTCGAAACGTTCTCCGACACTTTCGCAGTGGCACGGCTTGAACATTTTTGTCTTTAATAAATCGTGTCTATTAAAGACAAATTTGATGGAGGCTAGACGCATAGTGCGAATCTATTCTTACGCGAGCGATGAACTCGACGAGAAGAAAAGGGGAAGAAAAGTAATACGCGAGACGAGTGCCGCCAAGAGATCTCTCTCGGAAACTCAATATAGAGCTTTCGGTGAGTTTGCGCATACATAGGTGTATGCGTGTGTGTGTATGCGTGTGGGCGCGCGCAATTAATTGCGACATTTCAGCGAGCGGGTCTCTGTGACGGTGGCTTTTTATCACAAGAAAGATTCGCGATTTATCGGCGCGGCTGCGAAATTATCCCCGAGTTTCGGCTGCTAATACGGTACCCGCAAAGGGTTTTCTTATTAGTCTATTTTATTCCGTTCCACCCACACAGCGGCGAAGATTAAATGGGTTCGCGCGGCAATTTGTGGATCGATAGATTTTAACGCACTTGGCAGACCACGGCGAGAGCGAGCATTGGACTGTTTCCAAGCGGAGCGTTCTGGAAATGTAGTTAGCCTGGCACGTAATTGGTATTCTTGACGCAAAAATTCATTTACGGAATCGCTGGACGTAAAAGGAGAAGCGGGAGAGATATCTCAAATAAAAAGCACGAGCATTTAATTTCGTAAGCCGCCCTAAATAAAATCTTGGTGCCTCGTTCAATTTTAATCCGGCCGTTTCGCTGCGAGCGCGCGCGTTTTTATTTGCCTTTCGGCCGTTTTACCAGCGCGCCAAACATTTGACGCGCATCTAATTAAAAGATGTACCTATCTCGTGGTTAACTTACGCTAAGGCAAGGCTGCCGTGGCAATTGGGAGATAGCGAGCGACTCTTAATTTCGCGGAACCTCACGCGTCGCGAGGAGCACAAACGCCGTCGAGGAGCGGCGGCGGTGGCGGCGGCGGCGATGGCGATGGCGGTGGCGGTCGAGAGGCCGCGAGAGAATAAACGGCACGAGCGCATCTCGAGCGCGGAATGGATTTCGGGAAGCGATACACGAACCCTCGCCCGCGGCCCCGTCGACATCGCTGACGCGCGCGCGTTCACGCGATGATGCGGCCCTTTAATCAACGCAGCGCAGACCACTCTCGTCCACTCCCGAGGATTCTTTAAACACGCGCGCGTCGAACGAACGCTACAATCGCCATATCCCGCGGATGCAATTACAGCCCCGGCCCGGCTCCAGAATTTACCTCCGCCGCCGCGCTAATGCAAGGGCAAATATTTACGAGCGGGTCTCTCGCCCGCTAGGAATCCTAGCCCACCCACAAGGAGAGCCTCCTCCCTCCTCCTTTCCTTGCCGGCGCCGATGCATATTTGTCAAAAGTTATTTATACGTCTGCCCCATTGTCTGAGTGCTTTAATGAAAATATCCTATTATGATGCCCCCCCCCCCCGCCTCCTCTCGCCTTTTGCTCTGCTCCGCGCGCTACTCCAGCTCCTTCTTTGTTCAACCCGCCGTCTCACAGTTCTGCTTTCTCCTCTCTCTCTCTCTCTCTCTCTCTCTCTCTCTCTCTCTCTCTCTCTCTCTCTCTCTCTCTCTCGTCCGTCTCCGCCGCGTTATACTATTTCTCCCCATCACGGGGTCGAACGGGAGAAATGAAACAGAGTGACTCTAATGCGTGACGCCTTCA